CAGAGCTGTAATGTGACACAGACATCTGGAAATGCAGCCTCGCTAACACATCGTCCTCTGGAGGAGTCCTGGTGGTTCTGGCGTCTCCTCACTGATTGGGTTTGACTGTGTTGCTTCCAGATTGATGGTTAAAATATGAGCCGGGATGGCAGCCTGCAGCAGAAATAAGACTGGAACAAGTCTGTTAATGTTCCCCAGTGTTGGGTCTTGCAGCATCTCTGGATGTTTGTTTCACAATCTGTGAGACTAAACTGTTCCTCGGCCTCTTCTGTAAAAGCAGAACTCGCTCTTGCTTTGTCTTTCCTGCTCTCTCTACTTCTTTCTCTGCCGGCCTGTCTTTCGTTCTCTCTGTAACGTGACGCTGTTGCGTTGGCGTGCTACTGACTTGTTGCGTTGCGGTCGCTGCACGTGACAGGAAGCAGAGCTGCAGGGTCGGGTGCAGGGGTGTCACAGCCATACGTAATGGTTTTAGCAGACCTGTCAGAGTTGGGTTCTCCCATTTTGGTTGTGTCAAATGTGATGCTAGACCGTGAAGATTATCAAGATTGTTACAATTTTTAGTTTGAATTGGTGCTTCAACAACTGAAACAAGGTTTTTGTGGACAAACAAGAGGGTCTGAGTTTGGTGGAAACATTTTCAGGGAGAACATGAAACCACATTATTTCCCAGCCAAATTACATGTTGGACAAGCTTCTTTCCATGACCAGCTTCCACAGACATCAGCATATTCCACAGTGCCTTTGTAACCTCTTATGAATAACTCAAATAATGTTATGTAGCAAAAAATGTGTCAAAGTTATTGTTTCTTTACTCGAGAAGCTGCAGAATTACCTAAGCTATTAAAAAAACAGGCTAAAATGAAAGTTGTTGGGTACTAAGGTATGCAAATGGGGCAACTTTTTTGTTTTGAGCAGTTTACTCGCTGTGTGAACTGGGGTCAAATCAGGAAACAGGTTTGTAGATGTCGATTGTTCAGTTTATTAATCAGTTTGTTTCAGACTTTTTGTTTAAACTGATTGCAACACGAAATTATAAAGTGCTGGTAGGACAATCCTGCTACAGCCTGCATCTGAGCACCTCAGCATCGTCGGCGTATACAGTTTGTCTTTGCTCCACATGCACATATTGTACATTTGCGGAAGTAATGGGCGGCTGTGGCTGAGTGGTTAGAGCAGTCGTCCTCCATTGCAAGAGTTAGAGGTTTGAATCCACCAGAAGTCACATGCCCAAGTGTCCCTGGGAAAGACACTGAACCTCTCATTGCCTCCGATGTGTGTCCCATCAGTGTATGAATGTGATCTAAAGCACTGATTAGTTTCTTTAGAATGATTTGTTCAATTAGCTTTGTAGAGATCTAGTATAGAGCTGTATGAATGGGTAAATGAGGCACAGATTGTAGTGTAAAGCGCTTTGAGTATCTTGACGAGATAGAAAGGCGCTATATAAGTACAGTCCATTTACCATTTAATACGCACGTTTGGTTGAAAAACTGTCAAACTAAACAAACTCTCAGTCAAGTCATGCAAAGGTGTAGAAGTTTAATATCAACTTATTTTGCATTCTTTCACACTGGTCTGTCGTTTGGTCCTTCTTTGGCTAGCCATTAGCCTAGCCTAGATCAAGACTTTTGCCTGTTTCTCCATTCCTCGTGCTCCACGACTGATAAGAAGGTACTAACTGTTGACCACCATTAGACGAGCGTCACTTCACTGACTGGACTGACATTTAATTTCTAAAGCCTATTCAGGAGGAAGCCAACAGGAGTCGGCTGTGGAGCGTCAGATTCCGCAGCCTGCATGCATGTGAAACATATGTTTTCATAATAATGTTTATTTCTGCGACATGCAAGTGTGTTTTTGCTCTTTACATCCAAACTAAAACTATTTTGTCAGACTAGATGAGAAGTGGGACTATGAAGTATTGTCTAGAGGAGATACATGGAAATGACCTCTCAGGGATTTTTACAGAAGCTTTCAAACGTAATAATGAAGCCTCAACTAGTAGACTAATTACATGTATGAAAATCAGTAGTTTAGGGATAGAGATAAAAAGAAAAACAAACATTACTAAGAGGATATCCTGATGGATGCTCAATGATTCAGGTAGAAAAATCTAAAAAAAAAGTCAGGAATGCATTATTTTAGGGTATGATAAATGCCCATCCATCCATCCATCCATCCATCCATCCATCCATCCATCCATCC